CTGGAATGCGATACAGGCAAAGATTAAACATTACTGATAACAACCAAGAGGCTCGAACCAGGAAGGCTTGGATATTTTAAACTTCGTAAATAACATTCTTTTCAAGCGTAGACTTCATTCGAGTGTAATAATACGCAACAACAATTCGTATACAGCATTGGTTTTATTGAAGTTTTTAATGCTTTTCGGCTTCACAGTGAATTATTTTAGCGTCACATTTGAAATAGCGCGCTCGATACAAGATGTCGGACGGGAAAATTGGGGTCTGTAAAAATGTTTGTTGGTTCAGTCAGGCAATGTGTGGACCAAAACATCGCCCACTATTTGAAACATCGCCCATGGGCGGGGTTTAGGATGGGCGGGGTATCAGCCGAATCCGGTACAATTGCTGATCTTGGTGATTCATTGCAAGTACCTGGATGGCTCAGTTTAGAGATGCACAACATTTCTGGAATCATAAAATATAATACAGTGGCAAATTTCTGCTAATTATGTTTAAGAGCCAATTTCATACCATGTAATTATAACAAAGTACACAAAAACACTAGTTTTGAACCCATTTGTATGGCCATAAATCTTTCAATTTTTATTTTACAAGTGTAAAAATATTGCGATGGGTTTCATTATCTTAGGTTTGCGACACAAGTTTACTATATACTCACAACTTTTGAATAGAACTCACCATTACTTGCATCTTGCACAGCTCTGGATATAGCACTGCTGGAAACAGTTCTATTACGATTCATAATCTCTTCAAACTCTGTTTCTGATAATTGAGGGGATGCAGGTGGCATTTCATGCCTAGAAATGACGAATGGATAGGTCACAGGGGTTGGATCCTTTGGTAAAGATGGATTGGCATTTCTACAGGTGAAAACAATTTACTCAAATCTCACTCGTCAAAACTGGCCGTAGTGTAGTCTTTGTATGCGGCTTATTGTGCTGCATGATGAGGTTTATACTGTATACTACAGAGCACATTATAGGAGAATACAATGTGACTTGTGTGAATGCCATAATTTAACAAATTAGCTCAAATGATGGAGGGAAGGGGTAAAAGGCGTTCAACACAGGATGAATTGGGTACACCCTAGTTATTGGAATCACAGACTTGTTTGACCCCCAAAATAAGGGTGCTTTGTCACATACCTCTCAGATCTATAGGGTTCTGGCTCATACCTTGGTATTGGTTGACCATACATGTCCATTGGTGGATTAGGTGGCTGATGGAAATAAAAACAGATGAAGTATGTTTAATGTGTTGTTTCTAGATAAATGTCAGGCATGTCACACCACAACAAGACCATACATGGAGAATTAGAATCTTCATGGTTATATCCAATAAGTGATTACTTACCGGCCTTTCTTGTGGAGGTCCTTGTGGTGGGAAAAATGCAGGATTCACATGTGGAGCTGGAGGACCTCCATGTCCTGGTGGGGGTGGATGACTTCCAGGCGGAGGCCCACCACCATGGGGTCCTCCATGAGGGCCACCATGGGGTCCTCCATGAGGGCCACCATGGGGTCCTCCATGGGGGCCACCATGAGGTGGTGGCCCTGGATGCGGAGGTCCTGGATGTGGTGGTCCATGCATACCTGGCGGAGGAGGTCCCCTGTTGGGTGGGGGACCTGGCATTGGTCCATGTCCTGGTGGTGGCCCACCAGGTCCTCCTGGGGGTGGCGGTCCACCATAGCCTGTGCATCAAATAATAAAAAAAAAACATTGGAAGTATAGATACAGATTCATTTACAATCATCTTATAAACTCCCAGTTTTGTAACACTGTCCCATGTTTTTTTTTTTTTAATCTTGTGTTAACAGAACAAGCAGGAAAGTAACATACCTGGAGGCCTGTCCCACTCTGGTCTTTGGGGAGGCCCTCTTGGGTCTGGTCCGGGAGGAGGTGGTCCTCTTGGACCTGGTGGTGGGTGTCTTGGTCCACCTGGGTGCTGGGTAAATTAAAATATAAAATTGGAACAATTATTTTTCTTTAAATTTGGCCAATTCAGTGAATATTGACTATTTCAACAATGATGAAAAAGCTGCCCATGAGAAACAAAGGATGGTTGCTCAAGATAAAAAGATGGGCACTACCAAATAGAGGGGGCAGAATTAAATTATGAAAGGACGACCGACCCATTTAAAACAGCTTGTGGAGAACACTAACTACAACTGTACATATAAACTAAGAATTTATTTTTGCATGCTGCGTGAATCTACAGATGCCGAGTTGTATGCACAATCTTGAGTGAAATGTGTTCATTAAATAATCAAGCACAAAGCACAAATCCAGCAGGGGCAAAAAAGTGCAGAAAAATGTGGGTGAGAAAGTCTGGTGGGGAAAAGGTTAAGGGGCCTGACATGATCAGATTGGCCATACATGCAAACATCTCTTACCATGGGACCATGATGTGATGGATGTGGACCTCTATCTGGTGGAGGTCCTTGCATTCCAGGGGGAGGTGGTGGTCCACCATGGTGATGTGGACCTCCAGGATAACCAGGTGGTGGTCCACCAGGTCTAGGTCCTTGTTGCTGAGGTGGTCCTGGGGGTGGTCCACGAGGTGGTGGTCCTAAAAGTAATATAACAAAATGTTAATAGAACTTGGCATACCATAATGAGATACTGAAAAAATATTCAGTATGACAATATAAATGACCAAAGTAGGTTTAATAATGAACATTGAAGAATCCATACATCCTATTCAAACATAGACCCTAGCGAAGAACGACAAGAAACTGGGGCAAACAATGAAAGGAATGTTCGGTTTACAATCTTGGTTTCACTAACTGAATTATAATAGGACTATCTCAGGCTGACAAAAAAGTCACTATGTGCATTGACGTCAGAATTGTTTGTAGTTTTTAAAGTAAATTGGAAAACAATCCTGAATTGTGAATTATCTTGTCTTAACACTTCATTACTGGAGTTCTTGGGGCATTTGTAAATGATCACAAAATCTCAAAAAAACACGTTTATCTGTTATTAATTTTATTCTAAAATTTCTACAAACTGTTTTACCCATACTACAGTGCATGCAAATCTAAATACATTTTGGTGCAAAGTTTTATAGTTGAGACGGGGAACACCTTGGGAGTAAGATGAAAAACAATACTGTATTCGACCGCATTAGCGCCCAGGGTCCTCAACTCATAAAATCAAGATTTTTTTAGGGGTGGGCGCTTACCTGAGCACCCCCCTGGGAAAAGAGTTAAAGTTTGAGGGAAAATATAACTCAGAAATTAGGTGAGTCATCATTACTCTTACAATGAAGAAACAGAAATGGTCAAATATGCACATTTTATTACAATATTAATTACGTACCACCCGAATTTACAAGATTAAAAATATTCAAGTCTGTTGGAATACAGTCAAAGTCAAAATCTTCATCATTAACGCCAGTGACGAATGTGTCCGATCGTACGCAAACTCTTTCCGCCATGATTTAGGCGAGGGTTCTCCGAACCCGCCTATTCACATAGTTCATACCCACCATAGACTCCGGTCAGTCAAAATGACTATTTTGAACTGTAGCATTAATCAGCGATTCTGCCGGTGACTGAGAGATAGAATCCAGGTCAGAGGAAGCCCCATGACCTCAAGATTCTTTTACTCCTACGTCACAACCCACGT